AAAAAAAAAAAAAAAAAAAAGGAAAAACCCAGCTGGGCGCCATGGCAAGCACCCGTAATCTCAGCAGCTTGCAGAGGCTGAGGCAGCGGGATACCTACAGCCCAAGGCTGAGGTTGCAGTGATCTACCACGCCACTGCACTCTGCTCAGGGACATAGGGTGGGACTCTGTCTCAACAACAACAACAAAAAAGCACTAGTCCTTTTCTGGACTTGCATTTTGTTGAGTGTTTTGCTCCCATACCTCTTCTGTGGTGCAACCCAAAGCCCTAGACCCTGAGGACATGGCTTTGCATCAAGCTTCTGCCCTCAAGGGCTTAGCCCCAGGACCCCACTGTCCAGAACTTCACTTACCTCTATGCTGTCCACTGTGGGAGCACTTGAAATGTGATTAATGAAAATTTTTTATTCTATTTCATTTTAATTACTTTAAACTTAAATAGCCACATGTGGCTTATTGTATCACATTGGACAACACAGCCTTAAAACCCTGCTACCCAGCACAGGGGCCGGACTAGCAGCAGCATGGGGACCAGGCTGACATGCAGGCTACCAGACCTGTCCAGCCCCACAGAGGCAGAATCTGCATTTCACTAGGTGGCAGGTGACTCCTCTCTTTGCCTGCTTCAGTTTAAGGCTGTCATCCTGAGCTCAAGTCCATCGCCTTAGTGGCTCTTCCAAACTGTCTCTGCTCCCACTGCCACAGCCTCAAGGACTCCGATGCCTGATCACTGTGCTAAGTTGCTGTCTTGGACAGGCCCTGCTTGGCAGTCTTAGGCCTCCTCAAGACACTCTGCTGACCGTTATGGTTCTCCCTCACACAGCCTCCTTCTGGGGGTACCCAATACCCTCCACTGGCCAGAGTCAAATCCTCTTTCCTCCTCCCACTTTCCAAAGCTCATCTCCCTGTGAGAAGAGCCAGGAGTTCCTCCAACCTTCCTGGTGCTGGCCCAGAGCTAATAAGATCTTATTTACCAAGACCTTCCGGGGGCTGCCGCTCTGCTCTGGGACCCCTAATTTGAAGCCAGGAGGTATCCTGCGGCTGCTACAGCAGCCGAGGTGCGTTCCTGGCCCTGAGAAGAGGGCAGGCAAGTGGTCTAAGCCAGTGCCTCAGTCCGCATGGGGGCGTGGGGGGGCAGCCCACCGCCTCTCCCCGGCTTCCCACAGCTTTTCTTGCCCTCCAGCCTTGTCGGGTTCATCTCTCTGGTGCCAGCTATCAAAACCCAAACTTCAGAAACCCCAGCTGCGCTAGACCTCTGGCACTCCGGCCTTCCCTTGCCCTGAAACCCATGAATGACCTGTAGCTTGGTAGTGAAATCTGGCTAAATAGGAGTAGTTCCTTCCTCCAACATAGCCAGATGCTTCAGGGGTCACCTGGGCTCCGTTCCTTGCCAGGACTGTCCAGGGCGACGAGCTCTCAGACACTCCGGGGACCCTCGCCCCGGGACTAGTCCGCCTGCATCTGACCTCCGCGCAGCCACCACCTGAGCTGCTCCTGCTCCGCCTCCCCCTCCCGCCCCCGCCACGGCCCTCAGCGACGCAGCCCTGAGCAGCCCGTAGCCTCGTCTTGCCTAGCGCCCAGCCGCTCGCAGACAGCGGCCAGAGGGTGGACCACGAGCCGCCGAGCCCCCCACAAGCCGAACAAGGTGCTCCGGGGCCGCCGCAGGGTGCCGATACATCGTGGGCAGACAGGAGACCCGCACCCCCAGGACCTCCGCAGCCCCTCTTGAGCCGGCGCCCCGAACCCTCGACGGCTCCCCGCCACTTCAGGGCCCCAAGGACCCTCCCCGACTCTTCCACCCGCCCTCCGACCCCTCCAAGACCTCACCTACCTCTCCCCAGCCCCTGCCCGGCCCCTCCCAGACGCCTTTGACACCTCCAGGCCCCACTCCCGCCCTCACCTGCCGGGTGGCCGTACGGAGACTCGGCCGCGCCGTCCTGCAGGCTAGCCAGGATCTCACCCTTGCCCACGTCGCTGTCGCCCACGAGTAGAAACTTGAGCAAGAAGTCGTAGGCCCGCACCGGGCTGCCCAGGGCACTCATCGTATTGGCCTGTAGCCCCAGCCCATGCCCGGCCGCGGGGCCGCGCGCAGAGGCGGCGGCCGGGCCAAGGGGAGGCGGCGCGGAACCCTATCCCTGCCAACCTCCTGGCCGCGGAGCTGTCGGAGAGCGGCCCCGCCCCGCCCCACCCCACCCCACCATTGGTGCGCCTCAGTTGCAGGGGGCCGCAGGATGCGCATGCTCATTGGCTAGGCTGTGCGTCCGTCTCATCTCGTCACCGCCTCCGGGCTGACACCTGCCCTCCCTCCTGTGAAGGAGCCGCCGGCCTCAGCCAATGGAGGTCGGAAGAAGAGGTGAGGGCGGAGCCAGAACTAGCAGGGACGGCAACTCTGCTCCCGTAGCCAACGGAGGTACACAGCAAAGCGGGGGCGGAGCCAGTGGCAGAGGCGGAGACCCTGCTTCCGCAGCCAACGGAGGTCCAGAGTCTGCGCGGGGTGGGGGGGAGCGGGGAGGGGCAGGGGCGGAGCGGGCGAGGGGCGGAGCAGGAACCGGGCGGAGGAGTAGCAGGGGCGCGAAGCAGAGTAGCGTGGGTGGGAAGGGTGAGGAGGGCCTGGGACTCGAGTTATCCTTTTTGCTCGCGGTCTAGTTCTCGCCCTCGCGCCTGCTGCGGTTTTGCACCTCCCGGGTCGGCCGGCGGGCGGCGGCTTGGACTTTATTTACCCACCAGGGACACCTCAAGAGGCAGGTAGGGGCGCCGCTTCAGGCAGGTAGGGGGCCGTTCAAGTTCGCGGACGCGTGGTCAGAGGTCCTAGCAGGTTCCCTGGGAGCGGAGTTCCGGGTCTCCCCGTAGGGCTTCATCCTTGCCCACAGAGCCACGCAGCCTACGTGTATGTGTGTTTATTTCGGTGCCTCTGGTGTCTGCGCGTGCGCGTGCACCTCGGGAGGTGTCTGCGTGCGTGTGTATGTGTGCTGGGGAGACTCAATTGCGCTGTGTTGGGAACTGCTTTGCCCTCCCACGCAGGGTTTTAGGTGAAGGGGGAAAGAGAATGAGTGAAAGAAGAATTACAAAAGCAATAAAGTCAAGATTTTTATCTTTGGCTCGGCGCCTGTAGCTCAACTCATACACCTAAGGTGGCAGGTTCAAATCCAGCCCGGACCCGCCAAACAACAATGACGGCTGCAACCAAAAAATAGCCAGGTGTTGTGGCGGGCGCCTGTGGTCCCAGCTACTTGGGAGGCTGAGGCAGGAGACGGGCTTGAGCCCAGGAGTTGGAGGTTACTGTGAGCTGTGATGCCACGGCACTCTATCCAGGGGGATAGCTTGAGGCTCTGTCTCAAAAAAAAAAAAAGATTTTTATCTTTGTCATTTGCACTCATTTTTAAGAACATTATTTACTTCTTTTGGTTTGTTTTTGCTTTTTGAGACTCTGTCACCTGTGCTAGACTGTAGTTGTGTCATCATAGCTAACAGGGACTTCAAACTGGCCCTGAGCGATCTTCCGCCCTCAGCCTTCAGAGTAGTGGGACTTACAGGCAAGTGCTGCTACATCCAGCTAATTTTTGTTCTACTTTTGGTAAAGATAGGAGGTCTTGCTCTTGCTCAGATTGGTCTTGAACTTCTGGCCTTGAATGGTCCAACCCCCTTAGCCTCCCAAAGTACTGGGACTACAGGAATGAGCCACTATGCCCAGCCTCTACTTTTTTTTTTTTTAATTTAAAAGGATGGCTTTAATCATTTTAAGTATAGAATAGAGAAAAAGTGTGCTTTAATTAAATATACATCATACCTGTGATACTGGCTTTTCCCTCCATATGCATCCTAGATTGATAATTTCTTTTCTTTTCTTTCTTTCTTTTTTTTTTTGAGACAGATCCTCAAGCTGTCACCCTGGGTAGAGTGCTATGGCATCACAGCTCACAGCAACCTCCAGCTTCTGGGCTCAAGTGATTCTCTTGCCTCAGCCTCTAAAGTAGCTGGAATTACAGGCACCCACCACAACACCTGGCTATTTTTTGGTTGCAGCTGTCATTCTTGTTTGGCTGGCTTAGGCTGGATTTGAACTCACCAGCTCAGGTGTATGTGGCTGGTGCCTTAGCCGCTTGAGCCACAGGTGCCGAGCCAATAATTTATTTTCAAATGTCAGTTTAGTTGACAACACCTATTGCTTATTGATTAATTAGTTGATTTAGGCACTAGTGGAGCCCCTATAAAAATGGAAATAAAGGGCAGTGCCTGTGGCTCAGTGAGTGGGGCGCCGACCCCATATACCAAGGGTGGTGGGTTCAAACTCAGCCCTGGCCAAACTGCAACAAAAAAATGGCCAGGCATTGTGGCAGGCGCCCGTAGTCTCAGCTACTCCGGAGACAAGAGAATTGCCTAGACCCAGGGAGTTGGAGGTTGCTGTGAACTGTGACGCTACAGCACTCTACCAAGGGTTAATAAGTTAAACTCTGTCTAAAAAAAAAAAAGGAGATAAAAAGGAAAGTGGGGCCAGGCAAAGTCGTTCACCCCTGTAATCCCAGCACTCTGGGAGGCCGAGGCAGGTGGATTGCCTGAGCTCACCAGGCAAGTTTGAGACCAGCCTGAGCAAGAGTGAGACATTGTCTCTAAAAATTAGCCAGGCGTTGTGGCAGGCGCTTGTAGTCCCAGCTACTTGGGAAGCTGAGACAAGAGAATCACTTGACCCCAAGAATTTGAGGTTGCTATGATGCCACAGCAAGAAAATGAGACTCTGTTTCAAAAAAAAGGAAAGTGGGCACTAGAAAAATATGAGAGAGGTGGAATGTTAACCCCACTCCCACCCAAGAAAGCTAAAATATCTCAGGGGAATTTCACTTCCCGTCTCTAACCCTCAGTTCCAATAGTGCAATCAGATGTAACTCACTTGGCATTTTCCCAGCTGGGGCAGGACACCTGCTTCTGCTGGCTGCCACCCTGTATGTCAGTCCTCATGGCAGGGCAGGGATTGGGAAGTCCTCAGCCCACTGAAGGGTTATACCCAGCAGCCGGATGTATTCTGGCCCAGAGGTGTTCCCAGCAGTAAGTGTGAAGAAATGGCCAGACCACTTCCCAGGGAGGATGATGGGGAGACAGTTCCTGCTTTTCTCCTGCCCACTATGTACCCCACCACCTCACGGCTGTCACCTCCCAGCTGGGCTGGGCTGGGCTGGGCCAGAATTTGGCAAATGACCACCTGGAGGACCAGGTAAAAATAACCACTTCAGGCTCCGTGCCTATAGCTCAGCGGCTAGAGTGCCAGGCACATACACTAGAGTTGGAGGGTTCCAACCCAGCCCAGTGCCTGCCAAACAACGACAACCACAATACCACCAACAAGAAGATCAACAAAAATAGCCCGACTCTGTGACTGGCACCTGTAGTCCCAGCTACTTGGGAGGCTGAGGCAAGAGAATCACTTAAGCCCAAGAGTTTGCAGTTGCTGTGAGCTGTGATGCTATGGCATTCTGCCGAGTGGAATGTTGACCCCACTCCCACTCAAGAAAGCTAAAAAAATCTCAAGGTAATTTCACTTCCCATCTCTAACCCTCACATAGTGAGACTCTGTCTCAAAAAGAAAAAACAGGGCGGCATCTATGGCTCGAAGAGGTGGGGCACTGACCCCATATACTGGAGGTGGCAGGTTCAAACCCAGCCCCTGCCAAAAAAAAAAAAAAGAAAAAGAAAAAACAAAAATAACCACTTGAGGCCAGGCTCAGTGGCTTGAGCCTATAATTCCAGCACTCTGGGAGGCTGAGGCAGGTGGATTGCTTGAATTTAGGAGTTTGAGATCAGCCTAAGCAAGAGTAAGAACTCATCTCTACTAAAAATAGAAAAACGAGAAGCCAGCTGCAGTGGCTCATACCTGTAATCCTAGCACTCTGGGAGGCCTAGGTGGGTGGACTGCTTGAGCTTAGGAATTTGAGACCAGCCTGAGCCAGAGTGAGACCCTGTCTCTAAAAATAGCCAGGTGTTGTGACAGGCACCTGTAATCCCAGCTACTTGGGAGGCTGAGGCAAGAGAATCACTTGAGCAAGAGTCTGAGGTAGCTGTGAGCTGTGACGCCACTGCACTCTGCCAAAGACAGCAAAGTTAAACTCTTGTCTCAAAACCAAACAAATAGGCCAGGTGCAGTAGCTCACACCTGTAATCCTAGGACTGGGAGGCCAAGGTGGGTGGACTGCTTGAGCTCATGAGTTTAAGATCAACCTGAGCAAAATCGAGACCCCATCTCTACTAAAAATAGAAAAACTGAAACAAGAGGATCACTTGGAAGAACACACTGCTGCCAGCTCAGACCACACTTCCCATTAAACAGAGTTAAGAAGGGGAAGCATTAGTCTCTATTTCACAGAATTTGTTTCTAAAACTGTAGGTCCTTGAGGTCCCAGTTTCCTCTCCAAGCCCTTAAACTAAGCTGTCTCAGAAGTCTTTTAAGTCCATTTGGAGGGTAGAAGGAGAATGTTGCCATTAGGGTCTTACAGAAAAGTGGCACCGCAGAGCATAAACACACATATTGAAATTGTATATTTAAATAAAGGGGTTCACAGCTCTCTCAGGCATGTGACAAATTTATTTCTTTCTCTCCTGGCTTATATAGTCCGTTGTGTACATGCACATTGTACCTCATTAATATTCATTACAATCTCTCTGCATATTTGCACTATACATCAATGAGTTCATTAATATTCATTATAATCCATCTCTTGAATAAACATCTTGTAACTGTTGTGAGTAGCTCCTCCCTAGTAATCTACGGTTTAACTGATATCACTTTGTCTATCATAATCCTTTTGAACATAATCCTTTTAACATAACTTAATGGAGGCTCAGCACCTGTGGCTCAAGTGGCTAAGGCGCCAGCCACATACACCTAAGGTGGCAGGTTTGAATCCAGCCTGGCCCACCAAACAACAATGACAGCTGCAACCAAAAAATATCTGGGCGTTGTGGCAGGCACCTGTGGTCCCAGCTACTTGGGAGGCTGAGGCAGGAGACTCACTTGAGCTCAGGAGTTGGAGGTTGCTATGAACTGTGATGCCACAGAACTCTACCCCGGGGGAACAGCTTGAGGCTCTGTCTCAAAACAAAACAAAACAAAACAACACATAACTTAATGGAGAACATGTTATTAGCCATTACTTCTTTT